CAACTCCATCCTGAATCCATGCAGGGGGAGGTGTCTTGCATGATTCAGATGCCGACAAACAGACGCGAGGCGCCTGGGCTTGAGGGCCCCACTAGGGTTGGTTCAGGTGACCATAGCTTCGAAATTGTGGAAGGATCTCTGTTGAAAGGGAGCGAGATCTCTACAGGACTTGATGATTTTAAGGTTTAGGGCTCCGAGCTTCGATGTTTAGGCATCGGGGGAGGGGGGGCGGGGCTGCGTAGAGCTTAAGGATCGAAGCTAAGCCGCCAAAACCCTGAACCCTGAACTACTAAAGCCAGGTCCTACCGAGTCGAACGGCACAACGAGCGGAAAATCAGAACTTGCAAAAGGGCCAGCTTTAGTTGAGACTTCAGGGTTGGGGGTTCTGCACTTCGGGCTTTGAGCCCACATGTGGGTGATTGAAAGTATGGGCACCTTCCTCCGGTACTGAAGGCCCAAGCCGCAACTTGCTTGGCGGGGTAGGAACGCTCTAAACTCCACTTTGAACTTTGCAGACGCTCTAGACTCTAAAATCCACGTTGCAGACCCTCCCCTACGTTGGAGCTGCACTGCTTCGAGCACTGATCTGGAGAACCCTGTTGCGTGCACTTCCCGCCGCCCACAACCTTAAACGAAGCGATCCAAAACGCTTCATTGGTATTATATAGGGGCCTAAAGAATTACCCATACTCTTTTCTGGGGCTTCCTTATTACTATTCTAGTATACTGGCCCCAAAACCCTTTTTTGACTATCAAGGCCCCTGCATTAGAGCCCACACCCTAGATTCGGTAAAGCTCACGAAGCCCGAGACAGCCCTGGCCCCTACCCAGTCCCTGCTGGAGCCACCACAATACGAGACAACCAAAGCTGTCCCAGCCGATCAGTTGCACGAGTTTTTTTTGGGGGGGGAGGGGGGGGGGGGTTTGGCGGAAGACTTCTGGGCTTTTTAGTTCTGGGCCGGCTGGTCATCGGACTTCGGGTCTTAGGGTTAGGGTAGTAGTATTAGGGGGTTTACTTTCAGGGGTTTGGGGTCAAGGGTTTAGGGGCTGCGGGTACAGGTTTCTGAGAGATCCTGATGTTTACGACCGCCATGCGCCACCGATGCTGCTTTTATACATGGAAAACATACATGGAAAGCGCGTAGGCCCTGCAGCCAAGCCAGCAGAGTAGCTTGCGTGCTTCTGAAGAAATTGCTTCAGACCCAGGAAGTCTGCTCTAAGTTGGGAGGAGTAGCCGGCTTGAGTTTTCTTCATCCTGTTCAAAGATTCCAACGCCTTTGCCGAAACCAATCCTAGCCAATGCGGGGGTGGAGGACCTCTCGTATGTTTTGTTGTATCCCTACTCTATCTTTGTACCCAGGGAGAACACCACATCATGTGTAGGGTCATTGTGAGGAGTGGGGTTCCTCATTATGATTACGCTATAACATACCCCAAAACCCTATTCTAACTATTAAGGCCCCTACATTACCCATTAACGGACCCTACTCCCCTTTAATAATGTCATGTCGGACTCCATGTTAGTGTCAAAGACGTTGCCTCGCCAAGGCTTCTACATACGAGCCCTTCGTTTAGGGTCTAGGGTCTAGGGTTT